AGTCCCCAGTAAAATGAGGTCAGTCATATACATGAAAAGAAAGGATTCTTCTTCATTTAAAGAAAGTTGCCATTTTCCTGATCTTTGATTCGTTATGTGGCAGACGTCACTAAAACACAAAATGAATTTAGGCRAGTTAGAACTGGAATCCAGACTATTTTTAGTCAGTATGTATTTAGTTTCCAACATGTATGTATGTGCAAAGAATTTAAACTGTGATTTGATTCGATTTTAGAATACCATCCAAGCTTTCTCAATTTATCAGATGAATACCAGCTGGTGCATCTGACAGCCWAAACTGGAAAAATAACCTCGTTTAAAGATGGAAATCCCTATTCATGAGACCATTTCAGAGCCTTTGCTTTCCAGCAGGACTGCTTGAGCAGCACGTTCTGCTCGTTGGGGTAGTTTTGCTTTTCAAAGACAGATGGTCATTGTGTTTAATGTCTGTATTAATGTTCTGTTGATAAAAGTATGAGTAAGTTGCTAATTTCTCCAGGAAAATATAATTAAGCTGTTGAGATCAGGATACATGTGACCTGTGCTGTGTTTGGTTCAGAGGCTTCAGATTCAATTAACTTTGCAAAATTGCTGTGAATGTTTACCTGCTTGCTTGGATTGAGGGGTAAAAAAAGTTCCTTTGTTTATTCTAGGTTGAATAGAAAATGAGTCTTTTTTTCAGCCTTTTATTTGGATGTTTCTCTGTGCTGATGTTCAATATTTTTAAATACAGGATGGGTGGTATTCAGCTCAAGACACCTCAAGAGACTTCTCAAACGTGTTGCTGTGAAATCAGATGTTCTGCTGTGATTTCAGACTGTGTAGTCATGTTGCCATGGATGGCAGCTTTTCTGATTTCTTCCTCAAATCTTAAAGCTTTAAGTCTTTTTTTTCTGTCATGGATTTTAGCTTGACAGGAAAATATTGCAGCAACAATCTGCGTTGCTGCACCTGAAAGTTCTCATTCCTTATGTAGGCAGCTTTCTGTGTTGGAGTGACAGGAAGGTGCTTAATTCTGACAGCTGAAAGTGTTGACAATATTGGGATTTTTTTTTTCCATAAACCTTCCATTCTTTCCATTCTTACCTGTTTCAATAATTCCTACATTCGGTAGGAGCTGTTTTCTTGGGTGGTCACTTTGATTTGATGCCTTTTTTGGTGCATTCATTCACTTGAATATTTAAAAATGAGTTAACTTGTGTGCCATATCCTTGTGGGTTTAAKAGAATATAAGAAAAGCTCTTTTTAAGAAATATTGTAGTGCAGGTGKGAAGGATGTTGGACGGGTGGACAGCTTTTTGCTGTTTTACACTTTGGTTGTTTTTAACACATTTTTCTGCAGAGGAATTCACTGGTTCTGACCTACACAAGTAAAAAATTCCTCGGGACTGCAGGAGAACTTTGTTTCCTGAATTATTTAACCACTCCTGTCCTGAGAGTGCAGTTTTTGAAGTGTTTGCTTACTTGGCTTTGTGACATCATTACTAATTTGTATTTTTCTGTAGCACTTCATTCTCTTACTCTGGAAATCCCATAATATCTGTTCACTCACAACTTCCTGAGCAGCTCTGTCCATGATAGCTTCATTCAGAAATTGTCTGAAGCAGTGAAAAAGAGAATTATGAAAAAGTATTTAAAGTGGGTGATTTTTGTTTTGGTGATGGATGTGAATGAAGTGATGGTGTGCAGTGGAACAACAAATGTGGTGTAGGAAATGTGTAATTGGATTGATGCTGTTCTGGGCTGAGCATTGTTCAGAAGAAAAGGAATCAGCAGTTGGTTGCAAAGTCAGTGAAAGGATCCGTGGGTGAAGTGTTTTCCTGCTGTTCTGTGTCACAGGAAGGCCTTGTAACGCTCTCAGAGGGTTTTGTTTCTGTTTGTGTTGTTCCTGACATAAATCACCCGACTCTGCCTGCAAAAACCATTCATTATATTATTGTCTTTATGGTGGAATTGGGAATATTCCTATTCCGTGGTCACGTTTGACGTTTGCCAAGCTGGGTGGCAATAAATTGTTTGCTGGCAATTCCTAGTTGGATTTTATGGGGAAAAAATCCAGCAATTTGACAGGAATTGSCTTCATCACTGCTGGGCAGGGACAGAAGGAGTTCAGTCCTGCAGGACAGGGCCAGGCAGGGACTGTGTTCCCCAAATTTTTGCCCAGCAGGGCAAAAACTCAGTTACTGGTTTGGGAAGGCAGAGTTGAGATGTTGGACTGTTMCCTTCTCCCTGCCAAGTCTAAAAAAACTTGGAAAAACAATGCTGATGGAAGAAGAAAATGAGTTGTTTTATAATAATAATAATTAAAAAATATTATGATTTGTAGCCATATCACAGGCCAGAGGTTTTACCCTTCCAAACTTTTAATTTCCTTCAGAAACACTGATTGAATGTTGCTTCTGATTGAAACACATGATTTGTGTGTTTAATCAAGAGGGAATAGTTCTAAAAGTGATTCCCCTCCTCGCCCTAACTGTATATTTGCCTCTAAATCTATTTGTTGTGATAGATCATGTCAGAATTTATAACTTTCACACAGCTCAATAGCAGAATTTACAAATATAATTAGAGGGCTTAAAGACAAATTAAAGAATAAAAGTGCTTTAATGACATTTCGTTTTTATTGACAACCCACTAATATCTGCCGCATTCGCATAAAGATTTTTAATGCAATCCTGTGAGCAGATAAAAGCTGTGCTATTTAAAAAGATCAATGCAGGGCAGATTCATTGGATCCTCTCTGGAATGCAGATGGGGAGCTCCTGAGTAGATGATGGGGTGGAAATGCTGTCTGCAGCTCTCGCACAGCACAGGCTCTTCCTGCTCTTTGTTTTACAGGATAACACATTAAGAGCCGAATTAAGAAGATAGATGGCAGCAAACTGAAACATTTATAAGGAGTTATTTTTAGTTATTCCGATGTTTTCCGTTTTCCAAAGGTTGTAGCATTGATGCTTTTGAAAGAAAAAATTTCCTCGCTCACTCACCTGAGGTGTTTGCGATTACCCAGATTTGGACTGTTTAAAAGAGCTGTGGAGAATGCCAAATAGATGTTTTAAGATCCTTTTTTTCTTTTGTCTATATAGGACCTAACGAATAGAGGGTTTTTTTTAGAATCATCAAATTCCAGAATGGTTTGGGGTGGAAGGAAGGATTAATAAAAATTAATCCAGTCCCACCCCCTGCTATGGGCAGGGTTATCTTTCACTATCCCAGGGTGCTCCAAGCCCCATCCAGGTTGGTTTTGGACATTTCCAGGGATGGGGCAGCCACAGCTTTTCTGCTCCAGGGTCTCACCATCCTCACTGGAAAAAATTTCTTCCTCATATCTGATCTAASCCTGCCCTCCTAGAGCTTAAGGCCGTTCTCCCCTTGTCCTGTCACTCCGTGCCTTTATGGAAACCACCCCTCCAGGGACTTAAATCAGGTGAAATAATACTTAATAATGAAATAAATAATACCTAATAATGAAATAATACCTAGTAATGAAACAATACCTAATAATGAAACAATACCTAATAATGAAATAATAACTAATAATGAAATCATACCTAATAATGAAATAACTAATAGTGAAATAATACCTAGTAATGAATAAATACGTAATAATGAATAAATTCCTAATAATGAAATAATACCTAATGATGAAATTATACCTAATGATGAAACGATATCTAATAATGAAATAATACCTAATAATGAAATAACACCTAATGAATCTTCCTTGATCTGAACCTGTTTGGGTTTAGGTTCTGTGCTGGTTCTTGTGCTCTGTGCAATCGGACACTCAGAAATTTGTAGCTGAGTTTTTTTGAGCAATGTCTGCCAAAAGCTGAATGCTGGGGGGAAATTTGGGGGATTTGGGGCAGTTTGCACAAGCTGGGAAGGGGATTTGAGGAAGGAACATCCTCTCACAGAGCAGTGAACTCCTTGGGATGTTTCCTCAAAACCTCCCCGCTCCCAAAGGAGGGCTCTGCTGGTCACCAGCCCTTCAGTTTTTTTTCCACAGAAGTGAAAAATTGAAAGCAGGGAGGTAATTGGCTGCCTGAAAAACGAAATAGGGTTTTTCATTAATTGGTGGAATGTCTTACAGTTCTACACACAGAATTATTAATCTAAGACTGTAGGAGAAGTYGCTCTTACAATTCTGGGAGCAGCAAGAAACCCAAAGTAAAGCTCAAAATTATTTCTCAAAATCCTCTTGAAGAAGAACAAAAACCCCGACTGACTCAGCCAAACACTCACTCTACTTTAAACTTTCAAATATAATTTGGCCTCAATTTCCTCAGATTCTTTYTGTTTGTTTGTTTGGTGACAAATGAGATGTGTCTGTATTTCCTTCTCCTTGCTGGGTCTCAAATGAGATTTGTGAAACAATAGATGGGTGAAGGCTGTAATACAGTACCGTCAGCACAAATAAAACACGAGCTGGGGGTAAAAGAGCTGCTCTGGTCCTTTTCAGTGAGCACCAAGATCCATTCCTTGTGGATTTTCCTTGATGAAATTGTTCTGAGTGCGTGATGAYGGAGCCAAGGGCCGAGTACTGAATCCTTGATTTAGTGCTGGAGCCCTCCTGGGAGTTATGTTTGTGTAAGGATTGAGTTTTTTAAAAAAAAATTCATGTTGTGGGGAGGTTGTAGGAGTTCAGCAGAACTTGATAAGGTGAAGGGGTTGTTAAATCATGTACTGTATAAAACGTGGCAAAGGGAAGTTTCCCTGCTTTTCTTCTCCTCCYATTTGAAAAGTGGTGAGTAACCAGWATTAGTATTGATKAATTGATTATATTAATTTAAATCCAGCAATTTAAAAGCAGGAACATTCCCTTTTWAAATGTGAGGATAAAGAGTGGGGTCTGCCTGATTCTTTCAATACTCAGGGAAAGTTGTGGGTTTTCCCTGGGATGGGGTTATTGTAAATCTGTGTTCATCTGGACAGGGTGGGGCACAGAGGGTGCTGAGAAGATGCTGCTAAATTCTGTTGGGTTTTTTTATGTCTTTCAGGACTGGCAGTGAATGGAGGAGGACACTTTTTGCTAGAGATTCAACTTGTCTAAAGATACCAAGGTAGGAGAATTTTTTCTTTCTACAATTCCATGTGTTCCTTGCAGGAGTGATTTGATTGTTTAAAYAGAAATGCAGTTCTGCTGTTTCACTGTTAGTCTGTGATCACCTGAATTGGAACAGGGGCACTGCTTTTCTATAACAATTTTTATGATTTTTAACTGGAAAAATTAGAGAAAAATCATTCTCTTTTCCTAGTGGAGGCAGCTGTTAATAATATATAAAACCAAAGCAGCAATTTTAGGTGTTATRAGCAACACAGAAGACACTCAAAGCACCACAGATGAATTGATGAAAGYGAGATGATGCCATTTCTAACTTTTCTTTGGTTATCACTTTTCTCCAGGCCTGTATAATTGACATTGTGTGTGGAGAATGGAAGTTCCTTTGGGAACTCAGACTGTACCATTAATCTAGAATTAGAAACCAGGTTATGCAAAATGACAGAGCCTGGTTCAAAATTAAATTTCCTTAATTTCAAGGTCATCATATTTTSATGTTGAGGAGAGAACCGACTTTTGGCTTTCTCCTAGTGAGTGCTTGGCATTCTTTCTGATCTCATTTCAAACATGTCAAAATACGGCACTTAAATAAAAAATATTGCTGGAAAAATATTTTTTTCCCCAGAAAGATCAATTCAAATATTGACTGAAAAGTTATTTTTGCAGTGTATTATTATTGTGTGGTTGGCAGGGTTATCTGTGAGAATTGTTCCTGTTCCAGAGCAGTTGGTTTCTCTGGATTCAGGATGAATCACAAGCTGTCTGTCTCTCTCTGAGATCAGACATTATTTTATTCTCCATTGTCCTTACCTGAAGAATGACAGTGTTCCAGACAAAAAGGGAAAAACATCTTTCTGTCAGCAGGGAATGGGAACGAGGAGCTCCAACCTGCACCTTCCTGGTGCTGTCCTTGTACCTCACAGCTCCAAATCAAACAGCTTCACCCTCTGCAAGTGCTGTTCAGCACCAAAATGAGCTGTTTGTTTTTAAAATTGTTTTAAAATTTRGCCATTTCTCCCTTGCTGAATTACRTGGGTTTCTGTAATAATATAGTGTCACAATAATACAGTGTCTTCATCCTCCCAGGCTATGACTGCGTAAAAATTACCTCTGAATATAAAATACCCAAACTTCAAGTGAATATATAATCACCATGGACTCATCAAGAACTGTTTAGAACTTCCCAAACATGACAAAATCACTTTGTTACCCTTTCAGAATTGTATTTTAACTGGAGCATTAACAGCTGCTTCATTGGATGAAATAAAAGCAGAGATTGAGGGCAGCCTCCTGCTTCCTTGTGAAACATTATGTTGACCTGCTGCGCGCGTTTTTCCAGTGGGAAYGCTGTCAGGGGTTTTATTTTTATGTATTTCTAGCAAAAATAGTTGGATTCTGGCTTAATTTGCTGCTGTCTGACCTGGRGAGTGACTCAATGGGATCTCATGAGCTGGCACAKGCTTGTACTTKGCTTTTCARCTACAAATTAWTATCCAAAAAAGCAGCTGACAGAACTTTCTGTTGAACTACCTCCAATTTTGCATTTTTTTTTTCTTATTTTAAAATTTTTGGTAAAATGGTCATTTTTTCTCTTTTAAAAGTTTCCTTTTTCATCCATTCAGTTAAAGCAAAGACAATTGGGACAGGAGAGAGCACCAGTGCTGGGGCTCTTGGATTGTGGAATTCAGTGCAGGATCTGTAGCAAAGGCAGTCCAGAGATTACATTTTATTTAATAAAATTAAAATATTTTATTTAAGAGTGAATTGGCCTTCACGTCAGCCCTCCCATGGTAGATATTAGTGGTCAGGTTTTTCTGAGGGAACATCAAACAATTAATTTTGTTGTTCTAAAGCCTATTAGAGAACTCAGTTTAATAAACTCTTAATTGCTTAAAGGCCTCTAATTGGGAGGGTTTAGTGCTCTTAATACCTTTGTCATTTTCCTATTTCCAAATAATCCTAGAAGTTCTTGGCAAGCTTRCTAGGTGGCAACAATGCTGTTTTCATTCCTAAAGTTCCTGGAAATATTTAATCTCKAAATTTAATCTCTAAATTCTGCTCCTGTGTATTTAAATGTGCRTGGGCCAAACTTATAAATACAGATTTCCCTTGACTTCAGCATTGCTTTGTGATCATATTTCAATTTATTTCATCTTGTGATAATTCGTTTTATAAATCTCTTACTTGTGGAAAAAAGTCGTAGTTACTTCTTCCTTCCTGAAGCTTGAATGGTTTTTCAAAATGGTTCACGAATTTATGAAAAGTTAGATTTTTAAAAATTCTTTCTTTTGTTCACAAGGTGTTAATTTAGGCTTTGTTAAATCCTGAAAACTGATATTCTGAAAGGTTCCTTTTTCTGGCATCTTAAGATATTTATTATACACACTTCTTAATTTCTGCTGAAGTAAATTCAGCTTCCCTCATGAAAAAAAATAATCTTGTGCTACCAGGAGCCCTTGAATAGAATATTTTAGGAATAACAAGCTCTTCTATTACTTTACATAACTGAGTATATTTTCTATCAAAGAACTTTCAGGTTTATTTCAGAAATCACCCTTTTGAAAATTTTTTCTTCCCATTGTTCCTTTTGGGAATTCAGGGAGGAATGTGGTACTTCARGATCTTTTGGAATGGACGTTGATAAATAAAGGAATAAGGAGTGAGATTCTCACTGAAAAATGTGCTTTAATGCAAGTTTGCAAATAATTTATAACTATCTATTATCATAGTGTTTTGAGGATTTCTGACTCCAYAGTGTTCATAAACTTCTGTTGAATATTAAGAAGGTTGTGGAGTAAATTCTGTCTTAATTTGCTGCTGTCTGACCYRGAGAGTGACTCAATGGGATCYCAKGAGCTGGCACAGGCTTGTACTTYGCTTTTCAACTACAAATTAATATCCAAAGAARCAGCTGACAGAACTTTTGAACCACCTCCAATTTGGCAAAATGGTCTTTTTTCTTTTTTTCTCTTTTAAATTTTTTTTTGGGTTAAGTTGTGTTTTTCATCCATTCAGTTAAAGCTGTGTGCAGTGGCCATGCTCTGGTTTTTCTGCTGCAGCCTCTGAATTTTACAGGAATCCTGTCTGGGCTTTTTCCTGGCTGAGATTGGTAAAATGAATGAGAATTCTGTTTCTTTTAAAGTGTTTGTGAAGCCAAAATATTTATTTTCCACAGCCAATTTTTGCAATGCTTGGCCCTTTACATTAGTATTTTCAACATGAAGGTGAAGAAGGAGCTGAACACTTAAAGGGGAAATCAGATTTTTAAAGAATATGCTCAAATGACTTAGGATGCATTCCCTTCCTCCTTTGGTAGTTAGAAACTTGTCTTATTGGAAAAAAATGTAGAATTTTAATCTTAAAAGATGCATTTAATAGCTTCTCACGCTGCCATGTACGAAATTTGCCAGCAATGTTTGTACGACTCGTTGGACATCAAACACTCTTTTGAACAAGAGCTTAGCTTTGCTAATCAGCTTTATATAAAATGAAATTTCATTTTTAGGGAGGTGATCAGAGAGGAGGGAAATACAAGGATCTGGTTGTTCTACTGGTGGTATACAGGCAAAAAAAAATTTGCTTTGATTTTGTAATTCAGCGTCTGACAGACAATATCTCTCCATTAAAAGAAGCAAAACTGGCTTTTGTGGGCTGTAACAATGTGGAGCCACCCAAAACATGAGGTGGTTTTTGCAGCTTGTCTACAAACTCTGCCTCAAAATTAAGAAAACACAGAAATTGGCCTAAATCATCCAGGAGGATTTAATGAGATATCWCAGACCTGGTCAAGCTTAGCATTTGGGGTGAGATTGCAGAGCTCAGTCTGCCTCTATCCCTCCACTTTGGGTTTTTTTTCCTCATCATATTTGTACTACTGCCTTCTGGTGATCCAGAAATTATTCATTGAAATTGAAATTTAGATTTGTTCGAAGATCAAACAAAAATGGCAGAGTGTCTGGACATAAACCAGGAGATTTATGAGTTGTTTTTTTTCTAAAAATGCTGGGTGGAGATTGTGGCTTTTTTATTCACCGTTTGGTTTGGTAAAGTTACAAATGTTGAGATAAATGACAAATCAAGTGCAGTAACTTTTGGTTGCCCAAATTATTGCCACATCCTGTGTCARTGGGACAGTGAAGGATCCCCATCACATTCCTGCAGTTTTTTTCTGGTGATACTGGAGAAGGAGAATTAACCTGGGCTGGGGTGTATTAAGGAGCTCATGGGATGGGGTAAAAAAATGGGCTGATCCACCTCTTCTTAACACTGCTGTTTAATCCTTCTAATTCCATGGATTAATATGACCAACAGAATTTTTAATTCAGAGTGCTTATTCTTAAATATTACTCCTGGCTTAGTGGTGTTGGCTGAAGAGGGGAAGAGCCGTGGCTGTGTTTGCTCAAAGCCACCAAAGGATGTGGTGGTGCATGAAAATGAAAACCCAGCAGCTGATTTTGGTCACTTGTGTGTTGTGAACACCTTAACTAATCAGAATAAATCAGAATTGGTCCCCTAAACAATCATCTCTCTGCTCTGATGGAATTTTTTTTTATAGTCCTGTAAAAGTGGGATGCTCCAAAGGGGATCTAAACCTCGTTTAGGATCTTTTGGGAATAAACCTGAACACCAGCTCAGTGTGTTTTGGTGCCATGTGCTGCTCAAGTGATTCATAAATGCAAAAGCAATACTGATTCCGCATTTTGTCTTTAATATTCGTTCATGTGTGCACACAGACCCCCCAAATGTGTTTGTGGAGTCTGGTCAGTGAACGGGAACTTGTGGATGTCAGGAAAGGCTGAATTTGCTGCGATCTGTGTGTGCTCTGAGCTGCTGCCCTGGAATGCTGGTGTCACTCAGAAATTGAGTAAATCCTATTAAAAAGACTTTCAGTGCCTTTAAATRTACATATAAAGTTCTTTGAATTATATTATTAGACTTGAAAGTATCAGAGAAATGTGAAGAAACTCAAGATGGCATTTTCTGAGCATCCTCCAAGAGGAGCCGAATATAGTTACAGGAAAAAAAAAATCAGTATTTATTTCTATATGTCAAATGTGTTAYTTGTAACTATGGAATATCGTGTGTACAATAGAAAGAAAATTCTGCTTTATTGTATGTACTGATCAAAGACTCTGTACAATTCTTCTGGTCTGGTTTGGAGCTGCTTTTGTTGTAGGTGTTTTCATGCTTTACATGCTTTAATAAATGGCAGTTCCCCAGCACAGGCTGTCAGTGTGCCTGGTGATCCCAGACGCTCTTTTATCTTCAGCAACACTCAGACAACCTTTTTTTTWTWTTWTWTTTTTTTYCCCAAGACATACACAGCAAGGAAAATATAGGGATAATATTTCTGTTTGATTTTTTTCGCATCAGTTACTCTGGATTTGAGTGACTTGCCTCCTCATGACAATTTATTCAACTCGCAGGAGGATTAGATAGTCAAGCAGCCCAGGAGCTGCAGAGATTCTGGAATYGTGGTTTTGGTGTCAGCAGAATTGATTTTCTGAGCAACAGGAAGGGCATCTCCTTCTGATTGGCTTTAACACTGAAATGGAGGCACTTTTGGTAAATTCTGTGTCTTTGCCACTTCAGTGTGATGATAAATTATTTGGAAAAAGGGGTTGGATCTACCTGGAATTGCGTGGTTCTGGAAATAAAGGCTGATAACTGAAAGCAAACYGAGTGGTGGAATTTTGTGGATGTTGTCGTTAGGAATCATAGTGGCAAAATAATAACACAAAATTACCGTTCCACTGTTTTTTCTTGGTTTTAATGCTCCTTTACCTCTTTTCCACAATGGTTTTCCAAGTGGTAACTCTGATTTTGTCCTTTTTCYGCAGTGCTCGGGATAATCCAGGCAGAACGGGATCGCCATGTTTCGAAACAGCCTCAAGATGCTTCTCACGGGAGGGAAGTCCAACCGCAAAAACAGGTCCAGTGGTAAGTCATCATCACTTCCTCTTCATGTGGAATACTGGCTTGGTTTWAAATGCTTTTAAAATGGTTTTAAATGGTTTTAAAGCCATTCCTTTTATGTATTTTCATCTTAACAGGATTTCTTTCTTGTTGTTGAGCAGATGTGCTCAGTTGATTTTTCAGACTCCAAACTGCAAGAGTCTTGGATGAAGTATATAAATGATATATACAATAYATACTTCATTTTAATGTGGTGCTGTAATTTTAATTTCAAGCTATAAATAYATTTATTTTAAAGTGTATGTAAACYGTCATCTGGTTTTATTGGGGAGATAAGATGTAAGGAAAACCAGATAAGAGTTCTACATAACTTTGTAGTAAACAAACATCAAGGTTCATGTTTCACTTATGGAAAGCAAGAAAGTTTGTTTTTTTTTTTCTGAAAAAACTTGTGGCAGTGAAACCTGCTTCATTACAGCCAAGGTACCAGCAGCAATTTCTTTTTGAGCTTTTATTTTTAAACAGGAGGGAGAAAGTGGAATGGGAACAGTTGAAATTAAAGGAGAAATTGCCCAAATTTACTCATCRTTTCTGTCAGTTTCCTTTTTCCACCATCCCAGGAAAGGTGGAAAATAACATTTTTATTTAACTTTTGTCGCTATTTCCAAAAAGCGAGCGTTGGCAGGATAAAAGCTTTTAATTAAATCTTTCATTTTGAATTTTAAAGCCACCTGGCAGCACATTTTAAATATTTTAGGATACAAAACCTAYTTGTGCTCGTGCAATAAATAGCAAATGTGGACGTTCCTTAAAAAACCACGAGAGAGGATGAGGAGACCCAGCAGGGGAAGGCACCGGGAAAATGCTGCTTTCCCTTGGGGCAGGAGAGTTGTGGGGTTTGCTGTGGGGCAGCACTCACGGGGTTTGCTGTGGGGTTTGCTGTAGGGCAGCACTCATGGGGTTTGCTATGGGGTTTGCTGTGGGATTTGCTATGGGGTTTGCTGTAGGGCAGCACTGATGGGGTTTGGTGTGGGGTTTGCTGTGGGATTTGCTATGGGGTTTGGTGTGGGGTTTGTTGTGGGTCAGTGCTGATGGGGTTTGCTGTGGGATTTGCTATGGGGTTTGGTGTGGGGTTTGTTGTGGGTCAGTGCTGATGGGGTTTGTTGTGGGGTTTGCTGATGGGGTTTGCTGTAGGGCAGTGCTGATGGGGTTTGTTGTGGGGTTTGCTGTGGGGTTTGCTATGGGGTTTGCTGTAGGGCAGTGCTGATGGGGTTTGCTGTGGGGTTTGTTGTAGGTCAGTTCTGATGGGGTTTGCTGTGGGGTTTGTTGTGGGGCAGCACTGATGGGATTTGCTGTGGGGTTTGCTGTAGGCAGCACTGATGGGGTTTGCTACGGGGTTTGCTGTAGGGCAGCACTGATGGGGTTTGCTGTCGGGCAGCACTGATGTGGTTTGCTGTAGGGCAGCACTTACGGGGTTTGTTGTGGGGTTTGCTGTAGGGCAGCACTTGTGGGGTTTGCTGATGGGGTTTGCTGTAGGGCAGTGCTGATGGGGTTTGCTGTGGGGTTTGTTGTGGGGTTTGCTGTAGGGCAGTGCTGATGGAGTTTGGTGTGGGGTTTGTTGTGGGGCAGTGCTGACAGGGTTTGTTGTGGGGTTTGCTGTAGGACAGCACTGATGGGGTTTGTTGTGGGGTTTGCTGTAGGACAGCACTGATGGGATTTGCTGTGGGGTTTGCTGTAGGCAGCACTGATGGGGTTTGCTACGGGGTTTGCTGTAGGGCAGCACTGATGGGGTTTGTTGTGGGGTTTGCTGTAGGGCAGTGCTGACAGGGTTTGTTGTGGGGTTTGCTGTAGGACAGCACTGATGGGGTTTGTTGTGGGGTTTGCTGTGGGGCAGCACTGATGGAGTTTGCTGTGGGGTTTGCTGTAGGGCAGCACCCATGGGGTTTGCTGTGGTGCAGTGCTGATGGGATTTGCTGTGGGGTTTGTTGTGGGGCAGTGCTGATGGGTTTTGCTGTGGGGTTTACTGTGGGGTTTGCTGTGGGGCAGTGCTGATGGGGTTTGCTGTGGGGTTTGCTGTAGGGCAGTGCTGATGGGGGTTGCTTTGGGGTTTGTTTTGGGGTTTGCTGTAGGGCAGTGCTGTGGGGTTTGCTGTGGGGTTTGCTATGGGGTTTGCTGTGGGGTTTGCTGTGGGGTTTGCTATGGGGTTTGCTGTGGGGTTTAGGTCTGAGCCAGCAGTGGTCACTCGTTCCCTGGTGACAGTCACGCTGTGGGTCCATCCCAAGTTCAGCGCTCCTGGCAGTTCAAGCGTTCCTCGAGGTGTTTCGTTGCTGTGGGGTCAGAGCAGGTCAGAGTCTGTTTTGTGAAGGCACTGAGGTGCTGGCTGCTCATTTTAGGGAGATTTCCTTTCCAGRGGAACTCCTCRGTCTCTTGTAGCRGGAGGGAGGTGAAAAGATTGGGTTTGGAGAAGCCACACGAGCAGATGGCTCCGTCCTCTCATGGTTTGTGTCACATTTTCTGTGTGAAAGYACAAGTCCTTTGATGATACCTTTGGAAAACAATAAACAGAGAAATCACCTGAAGTTGTGATTTCTGTACAAAGCCCTCTCTTTGTCAGATGTGCTGTTAACAGGCCCTACTATTCCTTTTGGCTTATCTCCCAGAAGCAATATTAACTATCTTGTTTATGCCAAGCTCTGCAAATATGTTTTTTTTTTTTTATTTTGTGAATGAAAAATGTCAGTTCTGAAGTACTGAGATTTGACAGGCTGCGTGTCTAGGCAAAGCAGAAGAGATGGGTTTTCTTATTCATATATTGAAAAATAATCTGACAGAATTGAATCAGTGAGGTTCCCTCTAATGACTGTKCTGTGTGTTTAATTCACTGCAATTCTGCCCTTGAAATAAGTTGCTTTACTGAGAAATTCTGTTTGGTATTCTTCAGGGCAAGAGAGGGAATAAGAAAATGAGATGATCAGGTTTGTTATATTAACAGTGACTCAGTGGCAAACATCCCTCCACAGCAAAATGATTTTTCAGATAATATTTAATCTCCCAAACTCTTACATGACATTAGATGAATTTGTTGCTGCCTAGATTTTTTTAAGATTAATATATTTAAGTCTGTATTTCTTTGCAACACAAGGCAAAAAAAAATCAGTAAAACTTCCACCTGTGTTTTGGTGTGGCATCAAGGCTGAAACTTGCTATTTTTATTTCCTTTACGCATCTGGCAAACCACAAATTTGATACTTTAACAGCAGACTAAAAAGGAGAGAATTTACCTAATAATCTACAAAAGTCACCAGCAGGACCTTGATGAATCCTCCYACCCTTTTAAATAAATCCCAGAATGGTTTGGGGTGGAATGGAGCTTGAATGTCCAGTGTCACCCCTGGTTTTGTGTTGGCAGTTTCCATGGGGACATCAGTGGGACACTATGGGCTTGAGGTTTTTTTCTCATTCAAACACTCTGAAAACATTATGTTTATTGAAATTTGAAAATTCTGTTTATTGTTAGCATGATTTAAATGCAAATTAGAAGCTGTAAATGAAGCTGTAAAGGAAGCTGTTCCCTGATGGTTTGGGTGCTCTGATTTGCCCCATGACCTCAGAGCTGTGCCCATCTCTCAGAACCAACAACAAACTCCAAATCCTGARTTCCACATTGGGAAAATCATCTCTTGGAGGTTTTGGGTGTGCTCAGTCTGACTCTCCTGGGTTGGTGACAGCCCACCTGCGTTTCTCTGAAATTTCCCCGTGTCTCTTCATTCCCTACACTCCAGAGTTCATTTTTGTTTCACGTTTTGTTCATTCCAGTGCGCGGATAAACCTTTGGAGCGGGTTTGTGTCCTTTTCTTGGGGAATGCAGAGGAGCACACTCTGAAATCCCCATGCTTTGCTGTGTCTTTCATGTGCAGCAGCACTTGGCAAACAGGGGTGGTGGAGTCAAATTAACGATTCCTGGGTGTGATGTGGGTTTTGATAATTCTCTGTGATTAAAAGAACACCGGTAGTGGTAGCAGTAAAATGCCTTYTTGTTGTTCCTCCCTTAGAAACCACWGAGMAGCTTCTCTARAGCTGTGGTTAATGTTTATTTTGCMTCAGCCAGGGTGGGTTTTTTGCTGCTTGGTGGTGTTGTGATTCAGGAGCACACAAATTATTTATAGAAGAATAATACAAATGCATGCATGTGAACGGGCAGTTACCTACAGCAGTGCTGATTAAAAGAAATAAATTTATAATGAATTACTTCATATATGTTTATTATATTACTCCATATATATTTATTATATTATTTTATGTAATATACTATATATAATATATATATGTTATTATAGATTATTATAATAGAAATATGTATATATTTATACATATATTTAAATAAATTGATTACTACTGAATTTTTATATATATTATTATATAATATATATAATTCTATATATTATATATACCTATTCCAGTATCCTGGTAGGGAAATAATTCCATTTATTTGGAATGGATCCAATCATTCCACCTAGTACAGTTATCCTTGTTCTTTTCCAAGCAGATGGGCTATTTCCCTTTTTCCATTATCACCTTAAATTAATGCCACTGTAAGAGTTCAGATTCCTTTTAGAACCTGGTTAAATTCAGCTGCAAAACTGCCCATTGTGTTCGGTTTTGTATTTTCCTTCMCTTTGTGAGGAGTCAGCCCAAGAATTGGTGCCTTTTATTTCTAACAGAGGCCAAGATAAATTTAACATGAAAAGAAAAAAAAATCCAAAAAATGAGACTTTAAAATCAGTATCTGAGGCATGTAGGCCTTAACCCAAAGGGTCTGCTTTTCTCTTCTGRGTTAGTTAGGAATTACAGCCTGTTTGTTCTTAACTATAAAATGCACAATTTTTATCTGGAGCTACCCAGCCAGAAGCCTGCCTGTCATTCAGAATATTTTTGGTGCAGTTTTTTTTTAAAACCTGTTCTTCTTTCCTGGTTCACAGAAGACCCAATTACTTCTCACTTTCCAATGTATTTATAGGGCTTTT